TTACCTCATCTGAACCTAAGGGGATCTCTACACATGCCTGGTTATATCGAACTACGTACTTCCTCAAGGATTCACCTTCTTCATGTCTCATCGCCATCAACATCAAATATGTTTTGTCCTGGGCAACAACACTCCTTACTGATTCAAGAATCTTCCTAAGAGATCCTCGAATATCGCACTAACCCTGGGGGAAGCTGATGAAACCAGTCTAATGCTCCACCCCTCAAGGTCGATAAGAATGCCCTACAACTTACTGCATCTGAATATCCATGTTGCAACTACATATTCACAAAGGATCGCACATGCCTCGACGGTCAGTCGACCCATCATTCATTAGACTTACCTCCCTAAAGTTGGTTGGTAGTGTTGCTACCAAAATCTCAGCTGAAAAGGGATTTCCTCTAGCTTGACCTACTGGCATACCCTTCACTTTGTCTTGCAATTGCCGCAATTGCTCCGCAATCGTCTCCAAGGTCTGATCTCTTGGGTCTCCTTCCCCTTTGAAACTCGACTCGTTTTTTGATAAAATCTATAAAATTAATGATAAAAATAAATATAATTATATAGTATACATATAAAATAAATAAAAAAAATATACTGTCTATATTTTGTGACGAAAATATTATTCAGGAACTAAATTTTGTCATAATTTTCTAGCCTACCCCAAATTGTTTGGACTAAAAAGCTTTGTTGTTGTTGTTGTTGTTGTTGTTGTTGTAAATTTTGTCATAATTTGTTAGGTAAAAATGACAAATTTTATTTTTGTCACGAATAAATTATATTTTATGACAACATTTACTTTTGTCACTAAATAACACTTTTTATGACGATATTTTGTGTGACAAAGAATAATTTGTCTCAATTTGGTATGCAGTAATGATAATTTTTATTTTTGTCGTTGAAAAATATTCTATTTGTGACATCATATATTTTTGTCACTAAATTACATATTTACGATAACTATTTTTTAGAATGAGTGATATTTTGTCATACTTTCATATTTGTTGATGACAATATTTATTTTCGCCACCAAAAATTATTTTATTAATGACACTCTTAATTTTCATCACAACGAATTTGTCATAATTTAACAATTAACAATGACAACTTTTATTTTTCACTAAAATATACCTTATTTTTTACTTTGTTACTTTTCTTCACAAAATTACATTATATGATATTTTTTTCATAATTTGGTATTTAATAATGATAAGTTTTATTTTTAATTTTAGTTTGTCTTATTTATGGTAATGTTAACTTTCGTCTCAAAGTTACATATTTTATAAAGATTTTGTCATAATTTAATAATATAAACAATAAATGTTGTTTTTATTACGGAAATGTACCTTATTTATGACGAATAAAAATGAACTTATAAAATGTCATTTTGTATTATCAATATTGATTGTAATATATTCATTAGTGTATACATTTAATATTGATGTACATCCATCTATATTTTACAGTCAGCATTTTTACAAATTATATATATATATATATATATATATATATATAATATACAATGATCAGGTATATATATATATATATATATAATATACAATGATCAGGTATATTCGAATGGTTAGATTTAAGTAAGGAGGAATTTTTTATAAATTATAAGTATAAAATTTACGTTTCATATATTTAATATATAATTTTGTCATATTTAGTTATTTATTCATATATATGACATACATAGTTTTAATAAATAAAAAATTAATATGAGTCACATGTAATAGTTAAGGTGAGTGTCACTTTGAGACGGTGGATTGTGATAAATAAAACAATTTTTTAAAAATAAATAAAAATTTATTTTTTTATCTGGTGAAATTCGTCACTATATATGTTAGTGTTTAAATGACGAATAATTAAATTCGTCATATAAAAATATATTTAAGTGACAAATTCGACGGTAACAATGGCAAGTTTGTCACTATATGTTATTATTTAGATGCCAAAATATCAGTTCGTTATTTAAATTCGATCTTTTAGTGACAATTTAAGAATTTCAATGACAATTTTTTTCATATTAAAGTGATGAGATAGACGTCAGTAAAACTAATTTTTTAATGGCAAATCATAATAATGTCACATAGACATTTTGTGACGCGGCTACAGTGACGAATGCTGCAACGAAAATATTTCGTCACTATATACTTTTAATGATGAAAAATAGATTTTTTATGATAAATATTTTCGTCATAAAATATCAAATTTCTTGTAGTATTAAATCGATTCGACCACTGATCCGACGAGTGAACCATTAAACCGGTAACTTTACCGATTCGATAACGATTTTGAAAACCTTGGTTATTAGTTATTACTTATTAGTTAGTAGTTCTGTTATGTAGCCAGTTGGCCCAGTCCCCATAAAAGAAATAAACTAAAAAATCACAAAAAATGAAATTATATCGAATCAATATCATCAAGGAAAAATGGGAGGCCGAAAACAAACGTTACGAAAACAAAGTGATGATAAAACGATAAAACGGGCCATATTATCTCGACACGTGGAGGATAAGCACCACCCGCGCCACACTATTTCCACAAGCCTAGCCCATCTTTAAAATCTCAATATTATTTTGTGTACAAGAATATGTGGTATTTATTATGGAGTACGATTATTATTATTATTATTATTATTATTATATACAATTTATATCATTTACATGATATATACTTTATATATTCATTAATATAAAAATAACTTTATTTTAAGAATTTATTAAAAAAACTTATCACTTAGATTACATTATATAATT